ATTTTTAAAAATCGTACATAAAATAGATCCAAATTTCACGATAATCCGATTTCACGATAATCCGTGACATTAAATAAAACTTTAAAGTATGTATTTTTTCTTTAAATATTAGTTAAGCCTTTTGGGTTACCTTTGAGATTACCTAAGTTACTCGATAAAGGTGATTTTGCAACTTTCGAGCACCGAAGCGTCAATCTGGCCCACTAGGCAGCCCTTTTTGGATTGTTTAAGTGAGATCACCTCCTGGGTGAATACTGCAAGATTGCGCTCTAGCCATTGCAAGATGCGTTAATCTCTGCCCACTAGATAGCCCTCTTTGGGTTGTTTAAGTGAGATTCACCTAGGTGCATATTGCAGGATTGCGTTGCAGCGGATACGTCAATACTCTGCCCACTAGACAGCCTCTTTGGGTTGTTTAAGTGAGATCACCTCCTGGTGAATACTGCAAGGTTGCGCTCTAGCCTTTGCAAGATGCGTTAATCTCTGCCCACCAGACAGCCCTCTTTGGGTTGTCTAAGTGAGATCACCTAGGTGCATATTGCAAGTTTGCACTGTATCCTTTGCAGGGGTTCGGAATGTGACAAAGGTAAATTCTTTAAATAAGGATTACTGTTTCTGGTTGAGGAAACGGTTACGTACTATCCTTATTATAAAGAATCTATACTAATAACAAAAATATTGCTTAATAAATGTCATGAATCAACATGAATGACTCTTATTAACCAAATTATTTATTAATTATTTTAGTGATGAATAAGTAAGATTTATTCTTAATTTAGCTGCTATGAAGATAATTTATGGGTTTATATAATCGATACCCTTCTAGCGATCTTGATTTATATAATCGACTCTGTTATTGTGGTTTGCAAAATTTTACAGATCAAGAAAAAAAAAGAAGAAATCGCACAATTTTTAGGCGATTTCATTTGGGTAAGATCAGGAAATAGATCTAATTACAATCTGCGAAAACCACTGGAAATATTTTTTTTTCTTTTCTTCGGCTGCCTAACTTTCTCCTTTTTTTCTTGTAACAAGCTTTCTTAGATCCAAGATAATTGGAGTTTTCACAAGTTTTCAAGAAGAATTTTCGTGATCTTACTTGGTAAACTAAATTAAAACTAGAAGATATTTCTAACGATTAGATGAATCCACGCAAGATAAAGGTAGCAGCAATTGTATCTCGAATTTAGAATTGTTTGAGAAGTATAACGAAAACGATTCAAAAGATGGTATTTATGGCGTCATGCCTTGTATCGTTCCAAAGGTTTTATTAGGTCAAAAGTTTCTAAAAGCTGCAGATATTTATAATGTTGGATCTTCATATTAAAAATGTCGATTGGAAAGATCTTTTGATGGTTATAAATCTAATATTGGTCTTGCAACGAGGTTTTCGTAGATACGGAACTCTTCCTTTGAAGAGATATGATTTTTGGAAAGTTATTTTATTTTATTTTGCTGTTTATTTTATTTTATTTTGCTGTTTTATTTTATTTATTTTACTGTTTTTTTTTGGTTTTCTTTCTTCGGCTAACTATCTTTTTTTGACAGATTTCTTAGATTCGAGATTTTCTTTTAATGAGGCATGATTACGGTGAAAATTATTTTTCTTCGGTAACTACTTTTTTTTCTTTAGTAGGTCCGAGAAAGTTTTTTTCCCAACTTTTGCTTTTTTACTCACAGGCTTTCAAGAAAAAACTCTCATGGTCTTACCGGGCAAACTCAATTAAAACTACTTGAAGATATTTCCGACGATTGCAAGATACATTCATGCAGATTTTCACAGCGGCGATGCCCGATTTACGATTGTTGAAACAATAGTCATGACTATTTTTTCAACAATTGCGTAAAATCGGGCATCGATCTTCAACTAACGTAAGATAATCGAGTGTTCATGTATTCACGTTTATTTGCCATTTTCAACCATTTCGAAAACAGCGATAAATAACGGATATTGAGTAATGTTTATAACTTTATATGAAAAAGGTTTGTAACTTTGTAATAGGAATAGATATGAAAGACGATTAGTGTTTAGAAAACTTTGAGAGAAAAATTCGATCTGCGTATCTAAAATCAATTGATGTTATTTTTATATATATTTAATTTACATAATATATGTTTAATTCGGTGAAATGATCAAATTTTAACTTAAAAGTTTGAATAAAATAACCTATATAATATAAATTTGATTTACATAATTGTAAAAATTGGCTAGCTAATTTTTGTACACAATTGTCAGGAAGAATCACTACTACGTATAAAAAATAATTTCATGTATATATTATAATTTTATTGATTGTAACTATTAATGCTTTTACATACCTTCCTCCGGCTAGTAAATGTCCAAAAGAAGATTCCCTTCGAAAGTGTCTTAATCAATACATTAAGGAAGCTGTTAGTTTTCGAGATAATTTTTCTGCCTATAATGCTGATCTTAGCGTGGAATATAACAAACGAGTTATTCATCCGATATGTGGAATCAAATTAAATTTTCCTATCGTTGCAAGATCTCCGTCATCTACTTTCGTGACTGCATCGCACAGCTACCCTAATTTAAAAGTATAATAACGAAAAGGTAGATCAGAATTCGTGCATCGGAATGGATACATTTCCAGTTTTGTGATATAATGTTATCTTTATCGTTTTAGCGTTCGGCTCGGTTTGGAGGGAATCTGACACGTTTAAAATTATTTGGCATGCCATAATACAAATAAAAAATTATTTTCTAAAAATTTTTTAACCAATCAGATCACATAAATATAAGGCATGACTTAGTAAACTTTAACACTCTGGCGTGCCAAGCTCCCTAGTAGTCTGCTTATAAATATCTTGACTCGGTTTGGTTTATATCAGGCTGTTTGCATCACTAGTTAGAACTTTCTTATCCAGGCGGTCATTTTTTGGTGATAAAGTCATCCAAAATAGACTGGTTAATTAAAAGTTATTTACTGTTAATTAAAAATTATATACATTTTAATGATAATTTTGTAAATTAGTCCATATGCATTTTAACTACAAAAAAAAAACATTTAATACGCTTGTATACGATACGATAACATGTTCTATACATATAATCATTATATATAATTTAAAATTTAAATTTAAAAATCTAATATAACTATTTATATATTAAAAATATAATACAATATATAGTAATATATTTATTATCTTTCTGTTAACTTTATTGTAACTATATTTTGTAAAATTCGAGTCTCAGGAGCTGTAATACTGAAAATTATGTATACATATATCCTAATACGTTAGGATAATTACGCAAAATTAAATAAACAAAAAGATCACTTCCTCAAAACTTTCCAAAAAAAATTATAGGTTCGTGCAAATAACCGAGAAAAAAGCGTGACTATTGCAGTGATAATATTTTGTTGAAAATTAAGTAATAGTAATAAGAAAAAAAAAAAAAAAAGGTAAAAGATGAATTAATAAATTTGATCATACTTACGATATTATCTCCTAATCTTTTTAGTTTCAAGTTTAAATGGATATCCATTATCACTTGAATAAACTACATATTAAAAGGATTTAACACTCGAACCACATTAATTCTACTTGTCATGAAAACTAGTATGATATCATTGGCTACATGCAACCAGATTATTTTCTGTCGCTTATAATTTAAATCCTAATTTGCTTAATATCAGGAAACTTAAAAATTTACAGGCGACAAATTAAAACTAATTACTAAAAATTTTTACCCACATAAGAAAACTATCTCATCTTCTAAACTTGACATATAATTCGTTAATGTGCACACAGATGATAACAACCATTCAATTCAATCATTTCTGATGGAGTACCCGAAAAAAAAATAAAGGTATCATCATAAACGATCTCCATCACCTACTATAATACTTCACCTACTATGATACTACCAAGCAAATGTCGACAAGTTCAGCAAATATCCAGGTTTCCAATTATAAACGTTCCATAATATCCCAAATTGTTCAGGATTCAATAGTTTCGGGAACAAAAGCTAACAAGATCTCACTATTCAACTCAAGGAACATTGGATATTTTGAACGATTTGCTGC